TCAACTATCCAGGCAATTGTTGTTACTGATATTTACAAAGAAAAAAAAGAAATTTTAGTTAAGAAAACTCTTCATTCTCTACTTTAGTAAACCCCAAGTCCTGGTCTTAAATTTTACCTAAAATCTACTCCATGTTCATGTTTCTAGCCATCCATAGTGTCCATGGAGTTTATCTTGTTATCTCAGAATTGTGAAAATGAATATAACCTACAAGATATTAAATTTCCTTTAATCTTTCTGAGATAGACATAAGAAATCTTACCAAATAGAGTATTTTGGGAAATGTATTTCCAAGTGGAACTCTTGGAAATTCTGCTTCCAAATTCCTGTATTTGCTTCTTCAACTTTCCTCTCTCCTACACAGAAAATCTAGAGCACAAAATAATGAATACTAGACTCCCAGCTGGCTCAGAAGATTTATTAATGTTACGTGTGTAAATGCTAAAATTTGTCCCTCACTGTAGTTTCAAATAAAACAAGAAGCAATGGAAAAGTGAAAAATAAGTCACTTAAGAAAAAACTGTGGGATGGTCTTCAAATACAAACAGGTTTATTTTCTCCCTGTACCAAGGGAATTATTTCTATAAACCCCCTGTTCCAAAATACTCATGCTAGACAAGGTATCCACTCTTTCTCAAAGTATGTTCACATGGTGCTGTAGTTTTACCATAGCTGATTTATTCCACTGAGCCACTGAATAAGCTGCACAGCTGAGATTTGAACCTGAAACTTAGTGATCCCAAAGACTAAGCTATGAGGGTCTCAAAATACATGAGTTGTCAATGGCAATGAACAGTGAAGAAGTATAATAAATAAAGCCCCAATTTGGTTATTCTTGATGATTACTATTGTGATTTGTTTCTGTGCCATATATACAAACTTCTATAACATACAACTGGCACTGTTGCTCAGCTTTTTCTAAATTTCTGTAGGAAATTCTAGATTGAAACGTAAAGCATGAGATGTATGCCTCAGCCATGAAGGTAGGCCAGATGAAAATGCATTGACCGTAAGGCATTGTTTCCCTCAGTGTAATGTAAAATTGAAGAAATGTATAATTAAAGCAAAGTCTGAACTAAAAAGAAAAACAAAGCCCAAAAAAAAACCCTGGTAACTATGAACTAGCCCATGAATATTCATTCTAATCACTGTACAGTAATGAATTAGTAGTATGCACAGCAAGAACAATATAAAATTGAAGGCTACAGATTGCAGAAATGAATAATCTTTAAATGACATAAATAAAAATAATGCATTTTCCTCTCTGGATTGAAATTCACTTTAGGTTCCCTAGACAAATAAAAATAAGGGGAAAATAGAAGAATAGCAAATATTAGACCTAAGTATTTGTTCCTGTAGATACACATCAAGGAAAAACTTATCTGTATAATTTAATTGTACAATTTGGATATTTACTACCTAGATTGCTTCAAACCAAAAGACAAAAACATTGAGTCTACCAAATCACATATTATCTTCATACAGTAGAGTTGTCTTTTTTGGTAAAGCATGAGAACGCATAAATCATGTTACCAATGGAGTATTTTAGAAATTTTCTGGTTATCTCTAAGTTTACTTTCCTATCACGAGGTACGACGTGTTTAGATAGTTTAAGATGTAGGAGTAACATTTCAAATAAATGTTGATGTAAAATAAAATGTCAGATCAAACCCTTCTACAACTAAGCTTGAACTATCAAATATATAAAATGAGATAATTACAGCAATGTAATTTAAAATCATCACAGATTAGATAGTTGAGAGTCAATCTTTTTAAGCATAATTAAATTACTCATCATTTTATTCTTGATTTCTATCATCTTTAACTAGAGAATACAGAAAATAATAGTGCCAGTATGGAACATAACTTAGATACAATGCCCAATAAGCTGCCTGACAATGCACGTGTGTGTGCAAGCACACGTCAGAGGTCCCACTCTAGACCTAAAATGGCTGAGTTGCAAAATGCCGTTGCTTGGTGACCAAATAGTATCTCCTCATTCACAGAGTAATCTAAACAGAGACAGCTAGGTCCCTTCAGCTTTAGGCGTGTCTAGGACTAATACTGAAAGGCATGTTTATCTTCCAGTATTCCTTATTTTAAGTCAGTTGTCACTTGCTTGATCAGCTATATTGAGTCTTTAGCAGAAAGGATATTTACAAAGGTCCACCTATTCTTTTGGAAAAATAAGAACAAGCTTCTTCATTAGGCCTATGTGGTGCCTACTGTTTTAATATGACCTGCCATTTGCTATCAGTCTCCCTTTCTTTCATTAAACAAAGTAGTTAATTAGCCCAAGCCTGTCCCCACCCCTTCTCTTTCCCTTTTTGCAGCATAATGATGTCTAATTATCAGCAGCAGAGGGGTTACTGCAACTCCAGGCTCAAATCTCTGACAGCAAAGCCAGCCATGAACCTTCAAATCTCAAACAGCTCAGTCTACTTGCAAATACAATTCAAATATTGTACCTTCAATCAATATCTGAATGAGAATTAAAAGAAAATATATTTTCACCTTCCTGCTTATTTTATACTCCTGCTACTCTTCAAATGAATCAATATATTTTTATGAGACAAAATAATTTGAAATGTGAGCAAATACATGATAGAAAGGAATCTTAAAAAAAATGTAAACTCATTGAAATGATGATTGGCTGTCTCTCAGAGGAGGAGGAGCCTATTATTCTCTTAGGAACAGCATAAAAATTTCATAAAGAGCAATGGAAGAGTTCATGAATTAAAACCCTCTTGAACATTTCAAAACAATCTTGAATGAAAAGCAAAGCTTTCAAATACTTAGAGAAACCATTATCTAAGACCATCTCCTGAGAGATTACATTTCCTCCTATAGATGGAATCTTTACTGAAAAGAAAAATGCAGAATTATCATTTTAAATTAGATGCCTTACCAGTAATTTAACTCCATTATTTTTGAATGAAAATATTGAAAAATGAGCATCTGGATGCTGGTTTAAATCAGTGACATCTTAATTTATGTTAGTGGTTCTGTCATTGTTATAGAATCTGTGATAAAGAATTTTTAATTAATACTTCAAAAGTGCATCAGTATATGTACTGAATGTAATCAAATCCTTAGGAGTAATAAACTCATTGAACCAATTCTGAAGTTAAAGTTAACAGGGGAATCTAAGTCAAAATATAATGTCTAAAAAAAAAGCCTTCCTGACCAGCAATTTCCTTAGACATATTAAATATTTAGGTAAATACATATAATCATATTCATTTAATTCACCTAATATTTTCCAAAACACAATACACTCTTATGTTCTGGGTTCTAATTTACCTTGTCTAATCGTGTTTTTTAACCATGTTTTTAAATTAACCCCAATACAAATGAATCAAGTATTTCATTCTCTACACAACAGTTCTGACTCACCAGATGTAAATAAACCTTAATTCTAACCGTTATCCATCAAGTTCTCATTATTTAATAAAACAAGATCATAATCTCCGCATTGTCTTTAGCAATGTCAAATGTTAAAGTCTGCATTTATGAATCTACTTACCCCCTAGATACCTTTCAAAATGGTACATTTTTAAAATCAAAACTTTCATGTGTTTTGATTTTCTCATTTATTTCCATTTCCCATTTCCATATAAATTTTACAAAAGAAATGCATTTCTTTCATGCAACAAATCAAGAAACCATAAACTGTTTTCCAAACCTAAAAACGAGTCCTCCAAATCGTCTTTTAAAACCTTTCATGCATATATTTCCAATTCCATATACCTCTGTTTGAGATAGAAGAAAAGCTCTCAAGACAGCTTTCTAGCATCCTGGAGGAAAACTGCACGAGAAACAGTTCCAGCAAGGGAGGGAGGAGAGAGAGCAAATGCTCAAGAAAACCCAGAGCGAGGCAAAAATGCAAAGGATGCCAGCCACCCTCCCCCACCCCTACTCCAAATGTGTACCCACCGTAAGGCAGCGAAGAAAAAGGTCTTAGGCATGGGATCTGCAATCCTACTTGTAGCCCACAGCTCCCATCTTCTGGAAAGGAAATTGACGGTGCTATATGGTTCCTCAACCTCAGAGATTTCTGACCTGGAAGGCTGAGATCCACTAGGCTTTTGATGCCAGCATCTTGCAGTGCATGGGCTTAGAGCTTTGCGGCCAAGACACTACTACAGAGCCATCCCAGAACAGGGAACAAATGCAAACACCATAAGATTGCGCCCCGACCCATCTCTCTCTCTTTGTGGTTCATTATGTAGCAGCTGCTTTATTTATGAAAGGGTGGAATAGAGACGGGAATGGGGTGGGGTGGAGTGGAGGGGGGTAGCGGGGGGGGGGGGGGGAAGGATTCTCCAGGACGTTATCTACAATCTCAATAGTCGCGGCAAGATCAAGATCTCTGGGAGCGATCAAGACGATCGGACAGCCCCGCGTCTCCCCGGCGACAGTCGAACAATAAAACGTGATCGGGGAGGGGGGAGAGGGGGAGGAGGAGGGAACCCCCACATCCAGGACGAGCGCCACATTCGGGCTTTGTGCCAATAAGGAGACACTGTAGATTATCGATCAGAATCGTCTATTATCAGAGCGTGCAGCGGGGCTCCCAGCGTGGCCTTTATGCGCGGCGGCGGCGGGGTGCGCTCCGGGCGCCGAGCTAAGGACGTGGGACAATGGCCCAGCCCGAGGACGCAGGACATCGCCCGAGCCGGGGAAGCAAGCTCCAGCCACGGGTCCGAGTGCCGGAAGGTCGGCGAGGGCCGGGGGTGGAGGGGGGGCGGGCTTGGACTCCAGAGTTGAGCCGCCGCTTTGATATAAAGAACCACAAAGACCCCCACGACGCGGGTGGGGGGGGGGGGAGTGCGCCTGGTCCGAGGGAGCAGCGGTGACTTTGGGGATGGGGACCGCGAAGGGCGGCGGAGGGGCGCCCGAACCGACCGTGGCTCCCGGCTCCCCGATTCTGCCCCCCATCCCGCCCTCCCCGCTGGCAGCTCCCGCAGACAAATAACCAGAGCGGGCGAGTCACTCACCGTGGTCTTGACGGGCACGTAGAGCACTTGCTTGGCGCCTCCGCCACCCGCGCGGACCTCGTCGGGCTGGCCCAGCTGGAATCCCTTCGATTTGACCCAGAATTTAAATTTGGCGTTGTCGGTGGAGCTCGACTCGGAGCCGTTGAGGAGCTGGACGATCCGCTCGTATTTTTTACGGGTCACCGTCTTGGTCTTGCCCGAGTCCCCGTAAGTCCTGAGACACCAGTCCTGGAAGTGGCGGTACATGTCGCGCTCGCTCTCCATGGCCCCGGCGGCCGGCCGCCCCGCGGCTCCCCGCGCTCTCGGCACCTGTTCACCCCGGGCTCATGAACCAGGCAGCCCCGGGCACGGACGCGGGCCCGACCCGGCCGAGGGGACGAGGGGCCGGCTGGGCAGCAGCAGTCAATGCCCCGCGCTCCCAAGTGTCCTCTGCATCCGTGATGGCAAATGTCTCGCAGGTTTTCCTCCTCCTCTGGCCGCTCTTAATCCTGCAAGCCTAGGACCATCCCAGCAGCATCCGGCCCCGAGAAGCCGAGTTTTGAATCCTTTAAAATCCCATTCCGGGGTGGAGGAAGAATCCCAATATGGACTTGGGGTGGTCCCCTGACGCCTCGCCCCGGGGGCTGCGTCCGGGCCAGGCAGGTGGAGCGCAGCGCCGCCTCCCCGCGCGCGCCCCAGAAGCTTCTCCAGCCACTGGCCCCGTGGTCCAGGAGCGAGGGCTGCGCGCCTCTCTCTCTCTCTCTCTCTCTCTCTCTCAAGCAGCCGCCGGGCGGGGGGCCTGTGAACCCCAAAGGACACCCGGGTCCCTGGGCTCCCCTTCGTCCAGGGTCCTGTTTCCCTTGGGCCTGCCCACTCTGGGGCGCGAAGGGACTAGAAAGAAAGAAAGTTCTTACCTGTCATGCTGTTAAGCCTATCAAATCCGGCCAAACACGAAATGCTCTGCGAGGGTTTTTTTTTTTTCCCAAACCAGCTTAAAATGTCATTTCTCGCGATGAATTTCGGCTGGTGCCTTCCCCGCCTCGCTTCTAAGTTAAGTCCCAGAATTAGCCGAGCCTTCGTGACGATCCCGCCAGAGTTCTACGGGCTGGACGGTGGCATCCCAAACTGACATCCGTTCCCAGGGGAACGTGGGTGCAGACAGGCAGGCCGCTGGCGGTGGGTGGTGTCCCGGATAATGACGGGGGTCTCCGGACAGGACGCCTAGGGTTTCTGTTGAACTGGGGACAAGCATAGAAGTTTCTGACACAGATGCTTAAAGACCCTCTGCATGAAATCCAAATCCGTGTCGCCCACTCGGTTCCAGTTTGCCGCTCGCGCGGGAGGTTTCGGATGTTTATTTCCCCCCCACCCTGCCACGTCACGGACACCCCCTCCCCTGCTCAGAGTGGCCAAATACGAGTTCCTCGGGACGATGCACTCGAGCAGATGACATCCGCGGCTCCTCCATTCGGGATTTCCATCCGTCTGTTACCGAGCTGGAAAGAGGGGATTTGCCATCCTCCTCGCCCGGCGATTGCGGCCGCTCCTCTGGGATGCTACTCCGGGCCGAGGCCGGCGCCCGTCCCGGGGAGCGGCTCTGCGGGCCGGCCGGGAGCCGACGTCCTCCCCAGCCCCAAGCTCCGAGCGGGAAGGCGGAGCGTGGGTCCCCACGGCGCCGCCGCCGCCGCAGCCGGTCCCGGCAATTACCAAAAGGGTCAGCGGCTCCCGCCGGGCCGGCCCGAGTGCGTGCGTGAGTGGGAGGCGGGGAGCCGGGGGCGCGGGGCGCGCGGGGTGTGCGCGCGGCTCTGGGAAGGGCTGGCGGCGGCGGCTGCAGCCGGGGCTGACAGCCCGGGCGGAGCGCGAGCAGCTCCACACACTAAACCTCTTGCCTCTCCCTTCACCCCCACCCCTCCCACTCCCCTCTCCCCCCCGCCCCGGCCCCTTCCAAGCGCGCTGATTGGCCAATGGGACAAAAGTTTCTGTGGAGACGGCTGGGCGCTGACGTCACGGGCAGAATTGTCCCATTTAGGGATCCCGGGGGCAGTGCGCATGCTGCAGGCGGCAGGTTAGAGGCTGGAGGAGGTAGCGGCGGGCCCGGCGGCAGCCAGGTGGCGGAAAGGAGCACTCAGCATCCAGGTGGGGGGACGACTCCAGCAGGGTTTCCATGGAGATTCCTCTGGGTCTAGCCTAAAAACAGCAGATCAGCTGACACCATTAGCTCAGGACCTAATTACTGCTTATTGGAGCAACAAATGAGGGAGAGGGCCAGCTGCAAAGGAAGAGTTTTTATCTCCCCCTCCACACCCCTCCCCAGCCATCTCCTCCTTTCTCCCCTCTCTCAGTCGTTCTAACAGTCCCGGGAGAATACTCATTAACTTGTAGGATTCCTGCAACAACAGCTCTCCTTCTCCAGAGGCCATCCAGACCGCTTTTTTTCTTTTTTTATTTCTTGCTCTTGTATCAAAACATTGCTAAAATTATCAGCTGTCCCGAAACCCTGAATTTTTTGTCAATAAATATTAGGTGTCACTCAGAGACTCACTCTCCAATAGAAGTCACAGGCGTGGCTAATATAAGTGAGGTGAGGAAAATCATTTTCACTTCATGGAACTGGGTATTTCTCTTTAGGCGTTGCATATACATGTGTTTTAATTTTCACAATCTTAAATACATAAATATTTAGAGCAAGCAATAGTCACAGAAGACTATTTTGAACCACTCTTCTAAGTGTAATAGACCCACAGGAATAACTTTATTAAACGTTTCCCTTGTGGCATTAAGTCTTAGGATGATTCAAAAATCTGTATTTTATTGTATAATTGTCATTTAATTCTAATTTAAGCTCTGGAAGTATTGCTGAGTGGCCATTCAACCATTTTATAGAATGACCAAGAATAAGCTTATTCTGCAGAGTTTATGTTCCAATATTAGTAATAGCATAACTCACAATATTTCAATATTCTTTTGGTAACTTTCATCTGAGAAGGTTATCTCATTTCAAATCTCAATCACATCCATTCAGATTGGTAAAAGTTTCTTCCTTGATTACTCGAATTGAAATATTATCTTTCGAAATAGTTTATGTTCCAATATAGTAATAGCATAACTCACAATATTTCAATATTCTTTTGATAACTTTCATCTGACGGGTTATCTCATTTCAAATCTCAATCACATCCATTCAGATTGGCAAAAGTTTCTTCCTTGATTACTTGAATTGAAATATTATCTTTCTAAATACTTTTGGAGAGTGTTATTTTAACTTTGCTTCAGAGTGTGGGATATATTTTATATTACATACAGTTCACACATACATCTATATAAATTTTATGAAAAATATTTTATTTTATATTATGCACTTCTGTGTTTCATTTTATAATTAAATATAAATTGTTCAACCAAATTTATTTGATGAGTCAGCAAAAGATGAATAGCAATTTGGAAAACAGTGTTTTGCTCATAAGATGTATACCACTGCTTGTACTCTATTTTTATATGAGCATGTTTTGCAAATGAAATATAATCATGATTGAAAGACTCTTGAGATTTTGTATTTTTTCCATATTTTTACCTTCAGCATAATGAACAATGCATATAATAACTGTTTATATAATGCATCTTGAGTTAGTTTATTCATAAAGGAAGGAAAAAGAGGGGAACAGAAGAAGAAAGAAATGGGTGCAATTGTTGGCCATTCTTATTGACTTTTGTTGCTTGGTGTTTCTTTATAGTGGACCCCTACTTTCAGAAATTGCCCAAATCTTATCATAAGCATTTTTACAATATACAGAATACTAATGTATGGAAATCAGATCACTTTGGATAAAAAGAACTCACAATACAGACAAATACTTTATCAACCTTACTTTGATTTCTGCATTAAAAAAGAGAAACCCGTAAAGATTGGATATTGGATATGCATTTTTTAGAAGGAAGCATTTAAAAATTTAACTACTACAAGACCTATTCATAGTAGACTAAAGGAGTAGTGGGTTCTAAAATTCCAAGAAACCACCTTCTCTGAACCCAAATTCTTTTGTGGAACCCAAATTTATACTCATAATTATTAATTGAATGGAGTGAGCCAACCTCCTTTACCCTATTTTTCCTACCGAAGTAAACAGCATCTACAAAATATAAAATCTACTTCAGCAACTCACTCTGGATTACTTTTCTATTTAACTTTAGAGTCCAGCTTCACTAGTATATCCTGAAAGATCATTAAAGAACCATCCCTTTAGTGTGTGAGCAGGAGACTTAACATTTAATTGGTCATTTCCTTCCAGAAACTTTCTTAGAACAACCTCTTAATAAAGTACATCTCTTGAAAATATGGCTCCTCATGCTATATCCAACTGCCAATCCCTAACACTGAATCAGCTATTTATCAAAATAGAAAGTTGAAAATTTCTCTATCCAAAAATAATATTTAAATTCATATTTAATTTAAATCCAAAATTTGAGCTAGCATCAACATGAGGATGTTTATAAAAATTTTTATTTTTTTATTAATTTTCTTGTAATCTCAGTCAGTTTACATAGGAAAATTTTAAATTCTGGAAAATTTTGCAGTTTAAAATACAAATATTCTTGTGACATGATATAGCACTGTAGCACTGTTCTGTTGTTCATCGATTTGCTCGAGCGGGCCCAGTAATGTCTCCTTGTGAGATGATATAATCATTAGTAAAATGTTATAGTGCACACACAATTGTATATGTATATGTGTATATATATATATTCTGAAATCACAAAATAAGAATTCAAAGAATAATCAAGCTTTAATTCATTCATTGATATATTATGTTTTATGTTCACAAGTATTGAGGACCTATTACTCAACCTTCATGGTTAAAGTAATAAGCACTTCCACGTTGTAAAACACATACATTCATCATCTAATGAAACTTAACAACTTCAATGAAAATAAATAATTAACAAAAAATGAATATAAAAGATAAAATACTAGGATGGGGGAAATTATGGTTATAATAGAAAACAATGGTGGAGTGGGAGAGACTCTGTAAAGTGAGAGAAGTCTGAGTAACCAAGATTATCCTGAGAAGTGAATGATGCAATGGATCAACCATGCGACAATTCAAAAAGGGAAACGATAGGCACCACAGGATGTCCTAAGAATTCTTGGAATATGTGAGGAGAAGAAAGTGGACAAAGTCTAATAAGCTCTATTGCAATTGGAGCTTTTTGAACTTGGAAAAGAGGTTGGCTTTGAGGTCTGAGTAATCTTCAGTCAGACTTTATAGGGCAGTGCTTATCATAATAAGGAGTTAGCATTTTAATATTGGCATATGTTAAAATAAATCATATATTTAATAGGAAATTGCAAAATATGAAATACATTTTATATTTCACTGGTTACTTGAGGAAAAAAAAGATTGGAAATGGACAATCATGACAATAAGACATGTTAGGGGAACTTGTAGCAACATAGGTGAAATATTATGGAGATGATTTGAAAAGTCATGGTATGACTAGAAGAGATGAATTGAGACTCTCACTAAGGATCAAAAAGAGAGACGTGTTGATGGACCATGAGTGGCAAGTGAGGAAAGATACTTAACTAAGGATGATCATGACTGGCTTTGGTAGGGCTGGTGAGGCCATTGACAGGAGAGTTGGAGGAACAGATTGGGAGTTGGAGGCCGAGGTAGGAGCAGAAGTAGGTTGGGGTGGAGAGCCAGGAAAAAAACTTAATTTCAGAAAAGTTAAATTTGAAATACCAAAAGATTTGCTCATGTAGGCATTCGAATATAGAAGCTTGAACTACAGAGAAAGTCTGGGCTGGTGATAAAAATACAGGAACTTTAAAGCCATAGGAATGAATGACATCACCTATAACCATATTTCTTCAGATCCCTAAAGGGAAACCCTCTGGGCCCGAGCAATAGTATTGCAGGTAAGGTGTTTGCTTTATTTGTGACTAATCCAGGTTTGATTCCTGGTACCCCGTATCA